CTCTCCCAGGGCTGGCTTAAGGGACAGGGGACTTTGGAACCTGAGAAATTTAACTCCATGCCAATAAAGCCTTTTTCCACATTCCACCCACGCTGTGGGGGCTTCTGAAAATGCTTCTTTCAGCAGTGCCCCAAGATCCTTGCTCCCCCAAACAACAGGGGAGTTTCATCCGCCAGCAACAGAAGTACATTTCTTTCATGGTAAGAAAAACTGTGTTTAGTCAAAATCACATGTATTATAATTGTAAAACATTCTAGGCATAATCCTATAACTCTTTTAAATAGTATCAATAGCCCTAGCTGGTTTGCTCAGTGGATAGAGCATTGGACTGCGGACTGGAAGGTCCCAGGTTCAATTCCGGTCAAGGGCACATGCTCGGGTTTGCAGGCTTGATCCCCAGTAGAGGGCATGCAGGAGGCAGCCAATCAATGATACTCTCTCATCCTTAACACGTTTCTGTCTCTCCCTCTTCCTTCCTCTCTGAAATCAATAAAAATGTATATAAAAAAGTAAATAGTATCAATAGATGATTTATGATATTTCCTTGACAAACTAATTATGCAGAAAATACAGAGGTTCTTTGATAATTCAGAGACACATTTTTATTAGAAAAGTATTAACTGGATCAAAGAAACAACCATCTTAACTTTACATTCATACAGCTTTTTCTTTTTAAATAATTTTCACAAACACCATTTCATTGACCTCAAGACAACATGGGTGATGACCAAGAGATTTAAAAACAAAAAAAATCCCACGTCTTAAAAATCATTTATTTAGTGTTGCCTTAAATCCAAGGAGAAATGTAGAATATGAATGGACTCCACACAATAAAACCAGCATACTATTTCAAAATAAAATTACTGGTCTGGTATACTGTGTCCCTTTCTATATTTTAAACTGAAATAGATCTTTCAAATTTAAGAATGACCTCAGGAATATCTTTCTTCCACAGGGGCCAGTCTAATGTCACAATGAATTGTGCAATTTCTAATATACTGAGAAAAGTTATATAATAGAATCATCTTTTAAAACTTTTCTTATAGTGAGCAAATTACTCTGAAATGAATACCAAGGACAAAACAACAGAGCTACACAGAAAATATAGAACTCTACATTGTAATTTTGTCAGTAATTATTCTAATACCAACTATAAAGATGAAAAGAAAAAGAAACCCACTTCAAAAATCACATATTTCCCCCCCATGTTTTAAAATACTGCAAAATTATTTCAACAGAAATTTTATGTGCTCAATGCTTTGCTGATTACTACAAAGAAGTTGTATAACTGAAACTTTAAGAAGCTTATGGTTTAAAATAAACACAAGAGATATGAAGAACATATTAAAATGAGAATATTGAAATTTAAAAAGCCCATGATTTAAGCCAACAAAATACATTTCAAATACATACATACTTATAGGATGACAGAAGTGCTTGCTGGCCAAAAGCTCTGGTTCTTAGGTCAGATAGACCTGGGTCTGAATGTTGGCTCCTTCACTAATTAGCAGTTTGATTTTGGACAAGTTACTTAACCTATGTCTCAATTTCCTAATCTGTAAAAATAGGATAATAATGTTAAACTCATAAGTTTTCGAGACTAAAATGAGATAATGTATATAGTTTATTACCATATCTGGCATACGTTAATTCTCAAAAATGTTAGCTATCATTATCATCACCACTACATTATTGTTAAAAAGGTCCTGTAAGATAGAACTGCTAGTGTGTGTGTGTGTGTGTGTGTGTGTGTGTGTGTGTGTGAGAGAGAGAGAGAGAGAGAGAGAGAGAGAGAGAGAGAGAGAGGGAGAGAGAGAGAGAGAGAGGGAAAAGTGGACTAGTACACAGAAGTTATTATAATGAGCGTAAGGGCCTCCTGGAAGGAAAAGAACAGAAACCTTGAACTTCTTCCAAATATTACAAATTACTCAAACCTGTCAGGCAACAGCAAAAAAAAAGACAACGAAAGCCCATCTGATGACATTAAAAGAGAAAAAGACAAACCTGCTATTCCAAGTGTCCTGTCCAACCATCATAAGGACATATGGGACCATGAGAAAGTAACTATGAATTGAATGAGTTGGAATGATGAAAATCCAGGTCAACTTTAAAGTACAACACTCTTGGGTTATCATAACGGGGTTATTTTGCTTGCTTGTTTGTTTGTTGTTGTTGTTGTTGTTTTTTTTGGGGGGGGGGGCGCGCACTGTCATCTTTCCTTCTTTAAGTAACTTACCAGTGTCACAAAGCTATTACATAATACTGCCAGAATTCAATCCCATATTTGTCAGACCTCAGAATCCAGTATTCAAACACCAATTAATACAATGGAAAGCTCTTTTTGACAATCCATGGGCAGAAAGATGAGTTCATATGTGTCTTGCATATATATGGTAGAAATCAGATGATATACTATAACCTGCACAAGGTAAACTTATGGAAATTATTTTTAAACATAGAAAGCGAACCAACATAAAACTGAATCCTAAGAAACTAGAAGGTAGTATAGTCTCAGACAAGTTACTTAATTTTAATCTAAACCTCAGTTTTCTCTTCTGTAGAACAATACTTCCCTCATGTCTCAGGACAGTAGGAAGAAAATAAAGCACATGAAGTACAAACAATAACTAGTACTTCCTGATCCTCAATAAACAGTAGAGCTCCTATCATCATCATCACCATCATCATCATCATCATCACCATCATGCCTTAACAATTTGATATTAATTTTGAATAGCAATACAGCAATTCATGCTTAAATAGTAAAATTAATAAATGTAGATTCCACATTCAATGTTCTTTAGTGAGATTGAAGAATGAATTAGAAAACATCTCACTACCTCATTCCTAAAAAAAATAAAATAAAAAATAAATTGCTGATTATATTTGGTGATAGCATTTGAATTTTCTCCCTCCATGTTAGTTTAATAACTCAATTTACTTTTATAATTCACATGCAATTTACATTTGATATGTTGCTTAGTTGGCATATGTCATATATTTTACATTAAAATTAAATAATTAAGTATTAAGAATAACAATTATTATTCCTTCTTTCTTGTCTATGAATAAACTATCTTTAGAAATCTGAAAGAAAACGTTTACAATGTATCTGGAACTTGCTGCTGACTCTCTTTTCTAAGAACTTAAATTCACCAAAAATCTGTTACCTCAGCTTAAGTCACAGTGCTCTGAAAGAGACCCAAAGATTATATCTATCTGTTGTTCAAAGAAATCAATAATATGGAAGAAATATATGCTTCATGTATACGTCTTCATTAAAAAAGAAAATACAAACTGGAAGTATGCTAGGAAAAGCAAGCAAAATAAAATGTGCTTAATTAAAAAGAAAAAAAATAGCCCTGTAATCTAAATCAACTAAGCCTTTAGAAATCATCCCAGTTAAAAAAATAAAAATTAGTTCTACTTAATAACATCTTTAATCATTAAGAGGGCTGGCCCTGATTAAATTCACAAACTAGGCCATTCTCCTTATGTGCACATTTAGCAACTCTCACTGAATGCAGACCTCTTCATCCAGAAACACCATGGTATAATTTAGTGAATTTAGTTGTAGCTCCAGAGCCCATTCTTTTTTCCACTATGTCATGAATGGGAAGATATATCAGCCACTGTGGTAAATAACTTTATATATATTATCCCATGTATTCCTTATACACACTAAGAGATGAATTATCATACCAAGGGCCACATATGTTATACTTGGCAGAGGCTGCAGTGTCTGATTCCAGGTAGGCCTGGCTCCAACGCAGTGAGAATCTGTAATTCTCATCTCTCTTTATTATTATTATATTTTTTATTTTTCATCTCTTTTTTAAATAACAGAAAGCTGTTCCCATTTTCCCATTTTTAGACTCTTTTCTAAATTAATACTAAGATAATTAAGATTCACAAAATTTTTATTTATTTTATATTATTTTTATTTTAGAAAAAGGAACATTGATGTGAGAGAGTTGTCTCCCGTACTCACTCTGACTGGGGATTGAACCTGCAACCTGGGTATGTGCCCTGACCGGGAATCGAACCTGTAACCCTTTGGTGCATAGGATGACGCTTCAACCATCTGAGTCACACCAGCCAGGACCACAAAATTTCAAAAACCAATATAATACTAAAGCTAAAACAGAGATTAAAAGATGGACATCACCACCAGTTTTCTTTAGGCTGGGAAAAATTCAGAATCAATAATCAGACAATAAAAGCTAATGCATGATCAATATCAAGAAGAATGTGCCTGTGGTATCCAAGGTCAGACTGGTTTTTCTTGCTTTGTGTGTGTACATATTTTGCACCTCTCAACCAAAAAAGGCGTTTCAACTACAACTCTGTAAAACCCAAATGAACAAGTATAGGCAAGTATGTGAACATGTGCAAAGTTCCCTTGAAGTCACTCAGGAGTGGCATGGTAAATTTATAACTTTCCTTATTCCTTGGTTTACCATGGTATACTGAATTAACTAATAACGCAGATTTATTAATATCATAGCAGAAGTCAAAGACTAGCTTTAAATTACAAGAATGTGGCATATATATATATATATATATATATATATATATATATATATATTATCCTAAAGGTTTATTATGAGATATTTCCATACTTACAAAAAAAATGATTTGCAAATGTTTACACTAAGAATTTATCCAAAATGGTTATGATGAGCCTAACATTGAAGTTTTTAAATATTAGGGTTTTACAATCCAATGTTATTTCAAAAATTCTTTTATCCAGATCATGTAAATGGCATTTATTATGAAGCAAATCCTAAATTGGAAAATCAAGATTTGGTTTACTAAAAAGGGCATATTTTATTTTAGTTAACAATTAAAAATATTTATCATAGAAAAGTCCCTTAGAAATAAAAGTATTTCACAAATTTAATTCTGTACTGCTTTAATTTTACCACCCAAACAATGTACAACTTTTCAGTAACACACAATATATCTCAAGATGGACAAGTAAACACTGGAGACCCTACCTTGTGCTGTTCGATGGCATCTATCCACTGTTGTCTGTGATCTGGATCCTGAGCACGAAGATACCAAACGCTATCATTTACACTAATATCAAATCGACATTCATCAAAATCATGGGGCTGTAGAGAAAAAAGTAGAAAGTGAAAAGCAAAACTAATTATATTCTTAGAAGTATCATACTCTACAGCAATAAACATAACCCATTCTGGCTGGTGGGACACTCTTGTTATTCTTTTGTTTTTCTACTCAAGTAACTTTTTCGTTGTTTCTTTTTTTTTTTACTCCTCACCTGAGGATATTTTTTCCATTGATTTTCAGACAGAGTGGAAGGGAGGAGGGAGAGAGAGAGAAAAACATCGCAAGTGACACATTGATTGGTTGCCCCTGTATGCGCCCAAATGGGGCCAGGAATAGAACCTGCAACTGAGGTACATACCCTTATATAGAACCTGAGACCCTTCAGTTCACGGGTTGATACTCTAACCACTAAGCAATCGAGCCAGGGCTCAAATAACTTTTTTGAAGAGTCCTCAGATGAAGAGTAAAAACAAGGGTAAAGTTACCAAACACTAAATTTCATTCACCATTCCTACAAATGAGGTGACACAAGCTATAAATATATTTCAAAAAAGTGTTTTTCATCAAATGCGTTTAGTTAGCTAAACTAATGGAAACATTACTGAAGGCACAATTAAAAAAGGTTCAAAATAGACCAGCTGGGGTGGCTCAGTGGCTGAATGTCAACCCATGAACCAGGAGGTCATAGTTCAATTCCCGGTCAGGGCACATGCCAGGTTTCGGGTTCAATCCCTAGTAGGGGGTGTGGAGAAGATAGCTGACCAATCATTGATGCTTCTATCTCTCTCTGTGAAATCAATAAAAAAGTTATTTTTTTTATTTAAGAAAAAGGTCCAAAATAAGTCTTAGGAAAGACATTACATTTTTTCTGCCTCCATTATTCAAAAGTAAATTCTCATCACGAAGAGTTTGATTTCATTAAATTTTATAAACAAGATATTTTTACATTCTATCACAAAATAGTTAACATTTTCTCCTAAGTATCTCAAATTAACTTCTAGGCTTTTGTATGTCTTTGATAGTAACAGTCAGGAGAGCTTTCAATGAAAAGCAAAGATAAAATGAGTAATACATCAGACTTATGTTAGATAGTGGAAATTGCCTGCTTTTGAATCAAAATGTAAACACAGTGAAAATGTCAACTATTTGGTTTAGTGTTTTACATTATTCATAAGAATGTATAAAATTAGTATCTTAATTTTTTGCCCAATAAGTGAATTACAATATTACAGAATCACATCATTGTCTACTGGATAGAGTACAGAGATTCATCAATGTAACAGAAAACTGATTTGCTGAAGAAAATTTACACTTCGCATTTCCAGGGTTTATTGTTTATTCTCTTCCCCCTTAATAGCATCAATCTTTTATCTTTATCAATTTATTTAGCAAAAATTATAGAACTCCACAATGTTCTTTAGCCTATGAAACTATTTCTTTTAAGATTAAGACAATAAACCACAGTTCTGACTGGCTAAAGTATACACATTAAACATTTCCTGAATCACTATGTGCTGGCCTCATATGACTACTAGAGGCCTGGTGCGCGGATTCATGCACTGGTGGGTCCCTTGGCCTGGCCTGCGGGGATCAGTGGACCTCCACACTGCTGCAGTCTGGCCTTACCCGCCAGCTCATTGGGCTCCAGCCTGCTGTCTGAGTTGAGCCCGCACAGCACGAAGTAGTGTGCAAAGCGGTGCAGGGTAGAATTCTGAGCCCGGGCTGGGTGCTGCGCCGCTCCTGCTCATCCCACTTCACTGCACCTGCCCCCAAATGGGGCTGAAAACAGGGCAGATTGAAAGTGTATATAGGCTACAGCAATAGTTCTTCTTTAGAAAAAATACAGTATAATTAAATTTTCTATTCAGTTGTACTTCCATGATACTACATCCCACTCAACCAGAACTGTGGTACTACCAAAATCTATCCTAGCATATTCTCTAAAATTCTTTAGATTATTTCTTAAAATTTGCGTTTTCCTGATTTTTTATGTTTACCCCATAGCCTGATCAAAATGGTATATATCTCAGATAAGTTCACAGAAGTTCATTTCAATAATAATAAGGTCTAATAACCACAAAAAAAAAAAAAAAGCTGAAGAGAATACCTTCTCCGTGGATTATACAGCAATTTTAATACAGTTAGTGTATGAAAGAAAGATTAATAATAACTACCTTTAAATTGTATGATTAGGACTAATTGCCTTAATTTGTTTGCCTATATATTTTTCTATAAATCACATGTAATACTTTTGTTAAAGGACAAAAGTGCTGACTGATACTTATGGAAGTAGTTTGTAGAGTTGAAAAATCACCATTTTGTCAATCATAGAAAAGACTGGGTGGGCTAGGCACCATAAATAGTTGAAAATTCATAAGGCCCTCTTCCCTGATCTCTAGACTTTCACTCAGTTGCCTTCTCTATTATTTTCTCTTAAATGCCTATGACGCATCTGAATATATCTAAAACTGATCTGATATGCCTCCCTCCCCAAACTTCTCTTGCAGGTTTCTGAACTTTCGGAAATGGTAACTACCAACTGCTTAGACCTGAAATCCTATGACTCCTCATCTTTCACACCCTATAAGGAATCCACCAGCAAATCTGCAAATCTTGTCAGCTCTACCTTCAAAATGAGTCTGGAATCCAATCATTTCTCATAATCTCTACCGTTACTACTCTGGTCCAAGCCACTATCACCTTTCACCTGAATTATCTGCAATAACGTCCTAAGGCTGTCTGATTCTGTTTTCCTACTTCCATCTCAGCATTTGTGACTCACATTATACTTCTACTGAACAATCATGATCTAAACCATTCATTTTTACCTATCTATCTATGTAAATAACCAACCAATGACATATTTATGCACACCTATTATTTACCAAGCACTACTCAAGGCACCGAGAATATAATGGTGAGGATGAACTGCTATGATCCTTTGCAGAGATCACATTGACCAAATAATCACACACAAAATGTAAAACTTCAAATATAACAAGCCATAGTTAAGAAAGGTACACCATATTGAGAAAGCCTATAATAAAAGGAAGTAACCTAGTTAGGGGAAGGCTTCCAAGAAATAATACTTCAGCCAAGAGAAGAATGAAATGAAATGAACAAAGAAGGCCCTAACAGGTTTTGCTCAGTGGTTAGAGCATCAGCTTGCAGACTGAAAGGTCCCAGGTTCCATCCCGGTCAAGGGCATGTACCTTGGTTGCAAGCACATCCCCAGTAGCAGGTGTGCAGGAAGCAGCTGATCCATGTTTCTCCCTCATCCATGTTTCTAACTCTCTACCTCTCTCTGTAAAAAAAGAAAAGAAAAAAAATCCTCCCCAAGGATATTTAAAAAAAAAAAAATGAACAAAGAAGGAAAACATTCAGCATGTAACCTGGTTGGAGTGGCTCAGTTGGTTGAGCATCCTCCTGTACACCAAAAGGTTGCTGGTTCAATTCCCTATCAGGGCAAATACCTTGGGTTGCGGGTTCAATTCCCAATTGGGGCACATAGGTGGTAGGCAAACTGAGGCTCTCGAGCCACATGCGGCTCTTTGGCCCCTTGAGTGTGGCTCTTCCTAAGCCTTAGGAGTAGCCTAATTAAGTTAATAACAATGTACCTACCCATATAGCTTAAGTTAAAAAAATTTGGCTCTCAAAAGAAATTTCAATCGTTGTACTGTTGATATTAGGCTCTGTTGACTAATGAGTTTGCCGACCACTGGGTTAGGCAACCAATCAATGTTTCTCTCTCTCCCTTCCTCTCTCTAAGCAATAACTGGGGGGAGGGGAGGAGTGCATGTAAAGATCTAGGGGCCCAGCCGGTGTGGCTCAGTGGTTGAACTGAGTGGGGAGGTCAAGGGGGCATGTAGGAGGCAGCTGATCAATGATTCTCTCTCATCAATGGTGTATCTTTTTCTTTTCTCTTTTCTTTTCTTTCTTTTTCTTTGTTTTTTTCTTGATAATCCTCACCCAAGGGTATTTTTCCATTGGTTTTTAGTGAGTGGAAGAGAGAGGGAAAGACAGAAACATCGATGTGAGAGAAACACATCAGTTGGTTGTCTCCTGCATGAGCCCTGACCAAGGCCCAGGTTGGGAAGGAGCCTGCAACCAAGGTATGTGCCTTGACTGGAATCAAACCTGGGACCCTTTGGTCTGCAGGCTGATGCTCTATCCACTGAGCAAACTGGCTAGGGTTCATCAATGATGCTTCTATCTCTCCTTCTCTGGAATCAATAAAAACATCTATTTTTTTAAAAAAGATCTAGGGCAGGAAAGAGCAAGCCAGATAAGATCCTGAAATAGGTATATAACCTGATTGAAGGTGACACAGTGAGAGGGAGTCCCCTAGAGATGAGAGTTAAGAAGGCAGGCCCTGGCTGTGTGGCTCAGCAGTTAGAACATTAGCCTGCCCATTGAAGGTTCAATCCCCAGACCTGGTTTGGGCACATTCAGGAGGCAACCAATCAATGTGTCCTCTTACACTGATGTTTCTCTTTTTCTCTCTCCCCTTCCCTCCTGCTCTCTCTAAAAATCAATGGAAAAGCCTGGCCAGCACCTAACTGCGAATGGACATCTTACTCCTGTCTACAGACATCAAAGACTCTTTGAGGAAAAGAAGCTGCCAATACCAGAGGTAGACAACTATCCCAAGACATCAATAAGGCCTGCATATATACAGATTGATACTGAACTCAGCAAACATTTTGTTTTATTGTCTTTACCTGATTGCTAATGATATTAGTCACAATAATATATTTATTCTGAGTTTCTTTACATAGTCAAACTATTTATGATTACTGAACATGTATAAGATAATTGTTAATACTCTTTTCATGACTTATGTAAATGTTATACTAGATGCTAAATATTAAAAAAGTGACAGAAACTTGACCATGATATTGCACAGGACAGAAATGATCAGAGTGTAGTTTTTACTCAATGAAGGCCATTAAAATCTTGAGACAGCATGGGTACTTGGGCTCAGGATCCCAAGAACGCCAGATAAGAAAAATGCAGCACTGACATCACCCTGCTGCCCCTTATGTGATCCCAAGGACCCCAGTTAGCCACAAGAAACACCAATAAGAATGTCACCAACCCTCCACTTTCTGGCTCTCCCACTCCTACGAAAGCAGAATTTTACCTCCCTTCTAACTGCTTGCTTCTCCAACCCCACATGGAAAATTCTACAAGCCCACCTTTTTGCACAAACCCACTTTGTCCCCAACTTATAAAAGCAGCCAAGCAGAGCCAGACCCTTGAGCCAGTTCAGAGAACCTTCCTTTCCCCTGTGCTGCCTCCCTGTGCTTGAGCATACACTTAATAAAAATCTGTCTGGAAACTTCTTTAAGGTTTCCTCTTGATGTCTCTATCTTGGGAAACCCAAGAACCCTAATACTGGTAACAACCTGATGCCTGCCATTTTGGGGAAAAATCTGACTCCCATGGTTACGGTACTGCCTCATCCCCAATGAACAAGATGCCATCGATACTGAGACTTTCTAGGAATAAGCCTTTCCTAGCACTGTGAGACCACTCTATCTGACCAAAATATTGGTCATCAATGCATCCTTCAGATTAATGTATGACTAAGGGGAAACTGAAAAAAAAAGAAAAAGTAACCTCACAGGGTGATCTGATGATAAATTTATAACTAGGTAGGTCATGGTGGTAGGCATGCCCCAGACATATAACTTCTTTACTAAAAGTTTATCTTTGCTTTAAGTAAGCCCTGTCCATTGTTTCTGTACTCTAGGTTAACACCCTTTGAAATAACTACCCTGAAGAGAGCACACAATCTTATTAACTATCAGTTAATCCAATTCCTGCCTTGCTTTCTCCCACCTCCATGTAATCTTCCTTACTTTCCCTCCTTAATTTCAAATGCATAAAAGAAGTTGCAAAACTGTTATTCTCAGGGAGTATTTGAGACCTTGCTTCCTGGGTATGTACTGTCAGTTTGGCTCAAATAAATGTTTATAAAAATTAAAGAAAAGAAAAAACAACCACCAAAGTTCTGCATGCAAATATAAGTATAACAACAACAAAAATCTACAAAAAAAAGTTTTTCCTGAGCAGACGCAATGTACATGTTCATTAAAAATTTTCCTTTGCCCCGAATAAGCCATGCACTATTATCATTGTCCATAATTTAAGATAGGATAACTATATTTAAATCTACATAAATTAGCATGGTACTCTAGAAATACTAATACTTAGTAAACAATAAAGATAAAATTTCATTCCTTCCTATTTACACATTAACCATCAACATATTATTTTCAAAGAGTCAAATATGTAACTAACAAACATGTGGCAATATGCAAAAAGGAGGCAAGGAACCTAGAAAAACACTTCAAGAAAGTACATTTCTACGCACTATTCTGTCTTCTAGAATGGATAATGTTCTACCTTAAGAGAAATAAAATCCCCAAATAATAAACTAGATACAATTTAAAAATACACTATAATGTACCAAATACCAGTCAAAATAAATACTGAGCCTTTACATTTAAAATATTTCTTTTTAAAAAAAAAATTTTTTTATTGATTTCAGAGAGGAAGGGAGAAAGAGAAGGAGATAGAAACATCAATAATGAGACAATCACTGATCGGCTGCCTCCTGCATGCCCCACACTGGGGATGGAGCCTGCAACCTGGGCATGTGCCCGGACCAGGAAACGAACCATAAACTCCTGGTTCTTAGGTCGACGCTCAAACACTGAGCCACACTGAATGTGCTCAAAATAGTTCTTTTAAAACTGTCCCTAAGAATGGAGAGTAGTAGTTCAACTCTTAACACTTCCAAACAATTCCTCTATAGCTTTTCTATCTCAATACTCAACTAAGCTTTTGTTTTCAAACTTGGAATATCCAAAAGGAGCAGAATGTATGAAAAATAAAGGAAAAATACTATAAGATTTTTCTTAAATGTGTAAAATAAACATATGTCAGATTTAGATATCAAAACAGATCCAAAGTGCTTTCTACTTTTATAAGCAATATAAAGTCTATTATAATGTGAATTCTCTTTGAATGTATTAGTAAAATCTAGATTAAGTTTTAACATACCCATTTTCAGAATTTAACTACAAACACTACCTTCACTGACCTGCATTCAAGGAATGCTGACCACTCTCTATTAGTATGCTATTTTTAGTATATCCAGGCACTTCTGATCCCACTAGTTGAGATATATGCTTAACCGGTCAGTTGGTTGTTCCCAAACCTGATTATGCCAGTTTACTTGTTATACTTCTTACATAATTTAAGTAAACATTATGTAAGTGTATGAAATACAAGTACAAAAAGAGGTTTGTTCCTACGTAAACTAAGTTAAATGTAAACCAAGTAATTATTCAGTAAAGGTGAGTCAGTCCTTTAAAAGGTATTGAATTAGATAAAGGTAAGACATCTGTAAAATATTAGAAAATCATTAAAAGTCAGAAAGAACCTATATTTAGAGTTTTTTTTTAAAAGTACCTTTAAGCTTTTATTCTATTTTAGAGATATCAAAACTGGAAATTACAAAGCATGCATTATGAATATAGTTTACACAAGATCAACTTAACTCCACACTCAAAGACATGGTGTTAGCTATACATAAAAAATTTGGTAAGCATAGATTTATATATTTTGTTAAAATTTTAAAATGCCGACATACGTTTGTTTTTTTTGGTTAATTCTCACCCAAGGATATTTTTTTCATTACCCTTTAGAGAGTGGACAGGAGGTAGGGAGGGGAAGACAGAGAGAAACATCGATGTGAGAGAGGCATCACATATGCCCCAATCAGGGTCAGGGATCAAACCCACAAACCAGGTACATGCCCTTGACCGAGAATTGAACCCAAGACCCTTCAGTGCAGAGGTGGACACTCCAATCATTGAGCAACTTGGCCATGGAAAGATATGTATTTTTTTTATTTTCCTGCTTTACAGTAGGGAGGCGGCTATAGGGTTAAGCCTCAGACTGACCTGTTGGCAAAGCCACAAACAAGTCCCAGCTTAGAGGGCACAGCCCTCTTAGCATAGTTAGGCTTGACCTTGTGTTACTCCCTAGATCTTATCTGGGTAGCTAATGGGCTGAGGGAGATGCAGCAAGTGCTACCAAAACAGTGAAACTCACAAGAACACTGTAACTATGGTGACCACTACCTTGTTTACCTCTGGCTATAAAATAAAGGCTCAGGTTGCCGTCTGGATCTCTCTATGTGGCCTCAGCCAGGCACAGGAAGATCCACCTAGACCCAGCTTATTCTGTCTTTTCTACATCCTTCACCACCCCCGTCAGGCTCACGGAACCCTTGGCTGAGCTGGCCCTGCACACTTTACTATTTTTAATAACCTACCAATCTCAATGGACATGAATCCTTCTAACATCCTTTTTTTTTCTTTTCTGAAGGCCTTACTTAAGGGCTTGCTATACCAACTAATTATTACATGTCTATATAAAATAATAGCATGTAACAATAAAAATTCTAAAATAGCTTTATGGAAAAAAAAGTATTAGATTATATACTCCACAAGGGCAAGAATCTTTACCTATTTTGTTCACAGATGTATACTAGGTAGGTAGAATAGTTCCTGGTGTATAGTTGATGCTCAGTAAGTATCTGTTTAATGAAAGACAACAGAAACTTACCGTGATGACAGCCTTGCTAAGACAGATGGATCCTCTGCAGCCATACTCTGTCTCATCTTCAGATTTGTAGTAACTCAAAGTATTATTTTTCATAACTACCCAACGATCTTGCCATCCATGAATGTAGTTTGTCCACTGGGAATAGAAGAAAGGCGGGGTGGAGAGGGGTGGGGGGAGGAAAACAAAAAACAGTAAATCAGTATTTTAGAAATCCAAACTTTCTAAAATAGCAATCAATCTGATTTTAAAACCAAAATGTGAAAAGTTCTAACGTAATAATAATTTGTAAAAATAAGAAGTGGAAAGTTGGTATTTTCTAGATTGTATAATGATTTTCAGTAATTTTTTATAAAATAAATAGATCAATATAATATAATATTTTCTTCTAACATTTGAGGAATAAAATAGAAGCAGATTTCAGTTTAAAATTCTGCTTTGCCTCTTGCCGGGCTGGGCACATGCCTGGTTGCAGGCTTGATCCCCAGTAGGGGGCGTGCAGGAGGCAGTGATGTTTCTCTCACTGATGTTTGTATCTCTCCCTCTCCCTCTTAAAAAATAAAATTCTGCTTTGCCTCTGCACAGCAAAGGAAACCAACAAAACAAAAAGGCAACCAACCAAGTAGTAAAGATATTTGCATATGATACTTCCGATAAAGGGCTAATATCTAAAATTTGGACAGAACTCATATAACTCAACAACAACAACTACAATTCAATTAAAAAATGGACAGAGGATCTGAACAGACATTTTTCCAAGATGACAAACAGATGGCCAATAGGCATAGGAAAAGATGTTCAACTTGCACCAATTACTAAGGCAATGCAAATCAAAACCACAATGAGATATTACCTCATACCCATTAGATCAGCTATTATCAAAAAGACAAAAAATAGCTCTAACTGGTTTGGCTCAGTGGGTAGAGCGTCGGCCTGCTGACTCAAGAGTCCCAGGTTCGATTCCGGTCAAGGGCATGTACCTTGGTTGCGGGCACATACCCAGTGGGGAGTGTGCAGGAGACAGCTGATCGATGTTTCTCTCTCATTGATGTTTCTAACTATCTCTCTCCCTTCCTCTCTGTAAAAAATCAATAAAATATATTTTTTTAAAAAGACAAAAAATAACAAGTGTTATAGAGGATGTGGAGAAAAGGGAACCCTATTGCTCTGTTTGAGATTATAAATTGGTGCAGTCCCTATGGAAAACAGTATGGAGGTTCCTAAAAAAATTAAGAATAGACTATCACATGGTCCAGCAATTCCTCTTCTGGGTATTTATCCAAATATGAAAATACTTTTTTGAAAAGATATACGTACCCCTATGTTCACTGAGGTATTATTTACAATACCATGATATGAAAACAACTTAAGTGTCCATTGATGAATGAATAAAGGTGTGTGTGTGTGTGTGTGTGTGTGTGTGTGTACGCGCACAACACTACTCAGACAAAAAAAATGAAATACTGTCATTCTGACAACAAGATGAAATATAATCAGATGGTGTGGAAAAGAACAAAAAATACGATTTCACTCATATGTGGAATGTAAAACAAAAAGTAACAAATAAACAAAACAAAAACAAACTCATAGATACAGATAACAGACTGGTGGTTACCAGAGGGGAGGGGAAGGGAAGTGGTGGAAGGGTGAAATGGGTAAAGAGGGTCAAATATATGATAACGGATGGAAATCAGACTTTTTGGTGGTGAGCATGCAATGGAATATAAAAATATTAAGTTTCAATTGTATACCTGAAATCTATATAATGTTATTAACAAACTAGAGGCCGGGTGCACAAAAATTTGTGCACTCGGAGGGGGGGGGGGGCATCCCTCAGCCCGGCCTGTGCCCTCTCGCAGTCTGGGACCCCTCAGGAGATAACGACCTGCTGGCTTAGGCCTGCTCCCAGGTGGCAGAGGGCAAGCCCAATCCCTAGGTGCAGCCCCTGGTTGGGCTCAGAGCAGAGTTGATTGGGGAGTTGGGGCGCCGCCCCCTGTCATGCACAAAGCAGGGCGGATCGGGAGGTTGCGTTGCCACCCTCAGTCACGCTCAGGGTAGGGCCGATTGGGGGGTTGGGGCACTGCCCCGTCACACTCAAGGCAGGGTTGATGGGGAGGTTGCGGCGCCACTCCCTGTCACGCACAGAACAGGGCCAATCAGGGGGTTGGGGCGCTGCCCCCTGTCATTCACAGAGCAGGGCCCATCAGGGGGGTTGGGGCTCCATACCGTCACGCACAGAGCAGGGTCGATCAGGGGGTTGGGGAGTCCCCCCCCCCCCCCCCCCCGGTCACGCACAGAGAAGGGCCCATCGGGGGTTGAGGAGCTCCCCCCTGTCACTCACAGAGTAGGGCCGATAGGGGAGTTGGGGCACTGCCCCCTGTCATACATAGAGCAGGGCGGATCAGGGGGTTGGAGCGCCGCCACTGTCACACTCAGGGCAGGGCCGATGGGAAGGTTATGGCTCTACCCCGTCACACACAGAGCAGGGCCCGTGCGGGGGGGGGGGGGGGGGGGGGGTGGTGCCGCACCCTGTCACACACAGAGCCGCAGGGCAATCAGGGGGTTTGGGCACTGCCCCGTCACACTGATCCCAGTGCCGGGAGGCCTCGTGGCTCCGCTGATCCCGGTGCTGGGAGGCATATTACCCTTTTACTATATAGGATAGAGGCCTGGTGCACGGGTGGGGACCAGCTGGTTTGCCCTGAAGGGTGTCCTGGATCAGGGTGGGGGTCCCCACTGGGGTGCCTGGCCAGCCTGGGTGAGGGGATGATGGCTATTTGCAGCTAGTCACACACCCTTCAGGGTTGGGGTCCTCACTGAGGTGCCTGGCCAGTCTGGGTGAGGGGCTGAGGGCTGTTTTCAGGCTGGCGGGTGACTGAAGCTCCCAACCTTTTTTTCTTTTTCTTTTTTTTAATTCTGGGCCAGCTTTAGCTCTGGCTCCAGCTCTGAGGCCTCTGCTGCTGAAAGCAGGTATCTGGTTTGTTTTGGTTCTATAATCAAAACATTGTATCAACCCCAGCTCTGAGATCCCGGCGGGCTGAAATCAGGTTTCTGGGGTTTTGTTTAGCTTCTATATTTGTAACAATGTTTCAAACTGCAAGCTCAGAGGCTGGAAAGGCAGCCGGGGAATGTTGGTTTCCTCCGTCACTGAAGCAAGCAAGCCTCATGTTTGCTTCCAGCTGCCTGGCTGCCGGCCGCCATCTTGGCTGGCAGTTAATTTGCATATCACCCTGATTAGCCAATGGGAAGGTAGCGGACGTATGGCTAATTACCATGTTTCTCTTTTATTAGATAGGATGTTACCTTAATAAAATTTTTTTAAAATTATACTTTGCTCTTTGTGTGTTTTCATCCTCCCCTGCTCACCACCTCATGACACTTAAATTATTTTGGTCCCTGCTACAATTAAGATTATTTAATAGAAACGTAAGTTTGGTTTATATAGTCTCTCATTCTCCTACACCTAGTACTACATGAGATCTTTTAAATCAACGGAAGTATGAAGCTAATCATGGCCAAAACTACTTTTGTTGTAAGTTACTCCTATAGGAAAATTTATGGTGTTCTTAATTACATCAAAGTAAAATACTAGATCATTACTCTATTAAGTCTATATCAACTTCATTTTTTTTCCTCTACAGAACTCAACATTTCGTGTTTCAAACAGTTAATTCATTTTCCAAGTTTCTCTGAAGATCTATTTTTCAAACCCAAAAGCAATATACTAATACAAAACTGGTTTTTCAAAAACATGCTTGGAATATCTGTTTCCAGTACCTATAAATGGTTTCTGTGTTGCTAAAGTTTTTCTGCACACTGAAGAGCACAATCAATAAACTTGCAACGGTGGAAACATAACCTCTATGGAAATTCTTGATTTTGCTTATTTTCATGTTCTGGAGGTTTTAAATATAGACAATTCCAAAACTGTCTGCCAAAAACAAATTCAAAATTGTTAAAAATATACATACTGCATTGGCTCAGGCTCTTTACCCATTGAGAAATCTTTACTTTCCTATTCCCTAACTCAGCATGTTTGAGATGGGGCTTAAATCTTCTAAGCCCCATCATTACAACTCCTCCCTGAGCGGTCATTCATGCTGGCAATTTAACTCATTATTTCCTACGGGCTCCCTAATCATCAGTCCCTTATTTTTTTTTTTAACTCCCTATGACTTACCACCACTTATACTGAAAGTTGAAATAATGATTCTTACATACAAAAAACTCAACTCACCTTCTCTCTCAAGGTACACTTTCTCCCTAAGTTCCCATTTCCTTGACTTCTGGACTATCAGTCAAAGACTATATCCTTGACTTCTGCAGTCATTCAGACTCAAACCTGACTGAGGGTTTGTTTATTGTGAGGACAGAGCAGTGGATACACAATCAGAGACTCAATTACTTTACTAGTTATATGAGGAGTTTTGAAAAGTTAACTTTTCTGAGCTTCAGTTTGTTTATTTGAATGGCTGAATAAAATCATGACGACCCCTACTATATTCATAGGAATACTCAATTCCTGAGGGTTCCTTCTCAATCTTTATAGCCCATTACCAACTCCTATTCATCTTTCCTACGTATTAAACCCTTAAATTTGGCTACTCTTTTGTATTTTCAATTAATCCAATTAAATTATCAGGTTCCTAGATATCTGAGAAGGCTTAATAACCTTATCTCTAGTATCTTCTGCTTTTTATTTCATAACTTACATAATCTTACTTACTTATTAAGCATATTTGCTTACTTATCTTACATGTTAATCTCACTGAATGCTCAGTTCCGAAACTTACATGAACAACTCCCCACTGCCTACAACACAAATTGTTTAGACTGGCAATCTTACTTAATGCACTTCACTTTCAATTATTGCCCTTCAGAAGGCTAGTAACTGTGTGACTATGGTTAGGTTACTTATCTATTTCTCTGTCAAAATCTACTTCAGAATTGTTAAGACAAAGTAAGAAGAGACTTAGAACATTGCCAAGCACATGGCACTTTCTGAATTGGAGGCAGTTAGGCAGGCATAGCTAACGAAGCTTAACCTTCAGCGCAGCTTACCTCTTCCAAAGTGACAGAAGGGGCCCTAGCAATTTTGTGTTCACAATTTCATATCATTTCTTTACAGAACACCCAATGAAGTACATAAGCCTCAGGACCCTTTAGTCAGTAATATTAAACTGCTATCATACCTAGAAGGCAGATTTTTGCCTTTCTCTACCCTCATAAGATACCTTCACTTTTTCCTGTTTAACAAGTAGAGAGTCAAGGAAATATGCTAGACACTACAAACGAATCAAAGATTTCTGTTCCCAAGCTATATTTTCAAAAGAGAAAATAAATCTACATTTAAAATAAAAAGAATCAAGTTACAAATAAAATGCTATGGGAATACAAGGGAAGGAGAACTGAATGGTTGGTGAAATAAAAGAATAACACCAAAACCTATATTCCTGTTGATCTAAGTATGCAGAAACACTGAAGTTATTTACCTACCACAGAAGTGGCCAAATACTACATTTCTACACATTTAAATATCAAAGAGACAGTCTTCCGCTTTTTCTCTATTTCCATATAGTATGCCTACTATACTGCTCTGAATACTCAGAGCACTAGTGACTCCCCTAGTCACTCCAATCCCTCCAAAATGATCAATAGGTCAGAAGTACAGCTTGTTTTGTCAAATACCACCACCACAATACTAATTTGAAAGTCTGCTTCTCATCTAATGAGAAAAGCGATGAAACTACCAGAATCACTCAGAAGCAAAGAGCCCACTTCATAATAATTCCATCTGAAAATTTATACCTATTACAAAATGAATTCAATACAGGTTCTTAAATTACAAGACAGTTAATCTAGAGGAACCCTAGAGAGCTTCACTTTACTGAAAACCTTTCACTGAAATTCCAATAATGAGCACAATATCAACACACACCATGATTTTTCTGCTATGCAAATAAGAATTAACACTTGTTAAGCCTTTGTTCTGATATATTCATGCCTTTCTTAGGCCTTTTCTCACTAGCCTTCTAGACATTATAAACACCTAATATGAAACAATTCCAAATGCTGTCCAAATGCTTAGCCAAAGTACGTATACTGGAAGCAGGGTGATTTCTTAATAGTTGCACATGACCTAGTATCTTATGACCAGCTTGTTGAGAGACTCGCCCCAGCTGCCCTCCTTTCTCCAGGTTAACTACTAGCTCCAGCCATTTCTAAAAGTTTAACAGGAAGGGAGAAGGAAGTAAAAAAGCACAATGTGGATCTCCTCATAACTTTAAGAAAAACAAACGACACCACCCGCTCCCCGCCCCCCCATACTATCAAAAGATTACCCACCCTCCTTCTCTCTTAAAAGGAGCCTACAAAATGACTTTTTGCTTTGCTAACATTTTGAAAAAGAGCTCTTAAAAAATACAGGAAAGGTAAGCTGTCGTTTCCTTACTCTGGCCCTCTGACTGCAAGAATGTTTTTTTAAAAAATGCTCTTCTTCCTGGACTAAAAGTCGGTCTCCATTCCAACATGTTCCAAGTTACTATGAATATGTTTTGTGCCTTTCACGCTATCGATTCAATAGCTCTTTTCTGAACAGGGGTAAATGGCGAGGGGAAAAGTACAAACGTCCTCCTCATTGAGATCTCTCCCTACATCTAAGCTGGCATAGTTTTCCCCCTCACATTTCAGCAGCAAGTCTAGCTGCGATGGCTTCTGTGTAAACAGCCACGTTCCCAGAATCCCCCAACCCTACTCCGCTTGGCATCTCTGCACCAACCTCTTTCGAGATCCGATGTGCACTGTTCCCAGACCCAGCTGTTCTGACGCCGCTGTTGCTCAACCCGGATTCCTACCCCCGGGACAGCTGCCACCCTGAGTCCCAAGTCATGGTGCGCATCCTGCCCCCTAACTGGATCCGATCTCTGGCGGCAAACCCCCCGGGCAGACAAGGAGGACAGTGCCCTGCTCCCCTTTATCCCGCTCCATCCCTCGTCGGGGCATTCCTGCCGCAGAACTCAGCCTCGCACCCCAGCACCTTCCGCAGCCGCCGCCCCGGGACGGTCCGTGCCCCCCACCCAGCCCCACCCCATGCCCTCGGCGGCGCGCCTCCGGCAGGTGAGTCCGGGCAGGGGGCTCACCTTGCTCAGGACCCCGCAGCGCTCCACAGGCGGCCCGAACTCCGTCTCCGGTTCCTCCTCCGAGCCCGACGAGTTCCAGCTCTGGTTATCCGACATGGAGGCGCGACAGGCGAGCAGGAGACCGGCCCCTGCTCCGTGAGCTGCGCCGGAGGCGGCGCCTAGTCCCCGGGGTGAAATGTCGGAGGATGGCGAAGGGAAGAGCGCCCGCTCCCGCGCTGGGGGGTGCTGGAGGTAGGACGAAGTCCGCCCCGCGCGCCGCCGCCGCTGCGCCTGACACCGAGCGGACCGGGGAAGGAGGACGAGCGGCGAAGGAAGCCTGCCCTTCCAGCCGTCAGCCGCCGCCGCCGCCGTGACCCCTGCGCTGCGACCGGCGCCGCCACCCGGACTCGGCTCCGTCGATGCCAATCTCAAAAGGAGAAGAAAAGGGGGAGGAAGAGGGAAGAGAAAATCCAGCGGTATACACCCGAGTCCACTCACACCTCCGCTCCCGCCGCCATCTTCCTGCCTGGCCCACTATTTACCCTCCCCTCCCTCTTCCCTCCTCTTCGTCCTCCCATTCTCCCCCGGCTCCCCGCCCCGGCCCCCTCCCAACGTCTGACGCTGCACGTCGTGGGCTTGGGGTCCCTCCAGCACCCTACCTCCGGCCCTCCCGCGTGACGCCAGGGAGAGAAGGAGGCGGAGCGGAGGAAGGGGGAGGGATGGGGACGCCGCTGTACTGCATTCTGGGAAAGACCAGCTCCGACAGCCGCGTGGCCTCCTGGGGGTTGTAGTCGCGATCGTGAGTCCACTGGTGAGTGTTTGGCGTCGGTCGGGCTTGTTGTCCTGGGGACGGTCAGGCAGTGGATGGGCTTCGTGGGATAATTGCGTGGCCGGTTCCCTCCGCCGCGCTTCTCTCTCTGTCTAGCGTGTTTATGACGAATCCGTCGGGCTAGCGGGGCGGACGAGAGAGAACTCTCCGCTGAGGATGCCGGGCCTTCCTTCCATGGCGGCTTCCCGAAAGCCGGGGAGCATTTTGCCGCTTGCCCGGGCAAGTGTGCGGGACTCTTCCGCCTCCACCCAGGGCCAGGGGTTTGCCATCTCCAGTGACAAGGGGGTTTCTTTCCGCCAAACTATCTCTGCAAGTCTTGAAAGCCCTTCTTCTCGCTCTTTAGAAATTATACTTCACACTTGACGTTTCCCGCCTTCGAAGGAAAAACTTTCAGTTCCTTCTCACCAGAGCAAACACTTCACGTTGTTAGATTTCCAAGAGTTTTACTTTGTGGAGAGTAATTTTGAAGGTGTCAGAGAATAAATCACGTTGTAAGAGTTTTTAAAGTAAAATAAGAATGTGAAGTAATCGCCTGGAGTTTTTCTTTAGTTGCAAATGAGTATCTATCTCCCTGAGACTCAGGTTAACCATCTCTGCCGACCTACCGCTCTCTGAAAGACAGAGAAGGTTGGTATAGAAACTTTATTGTAAGAATGGCCCATGCCATATAGCGTCTAAGTGGCAGAGTTAGGATTTGAATACAGATCTCTATTATTTCCAAGACGATACCCTTTTCTTTGCTTCAGAATACCTATATAAAAAGAAGAATTGTGTAAATAAGTAATGTCTACTATAGATAAATATATCGGAGTAACTGTTTTTAATTTCACCTAATGATTTGAACATCATTTAGTTATGCTGTCCTATTTAATCCCAATGTAGAATTTATTATTTCTATTCTATTTCTATGTCTGATATTTCACATGAAGAAACTGAACCACAGAGAAGTTAAGCTAGTAAAGAGCATAGTTGCAGTTTGAGCCCAAATATCCTGATTCCAATTCTCATTCCCATCCCACTAGAGTTCTTCAATTCCTCTTCTATCTCCCTATCTTCCACCTCCGCTTTTATCTCCACTAAGCATCAATTCCAAAGCCTGCATCCTGGCCCTCTACTCCCCCTGTCAAGACAGAAGCCAAAAAAAAACACCCAAAACCAAAAAACAAAGAAAAAACACCAGAGGTGCTGGAATTGGTAATGTTTGTAGTTTTACTGATCAGCAGGTAGAGGAATGAAGGGGAACATTTATTTGTTTCTGATGCTAGAAGTATAGCAGGAGAGGATATCCCAAGTTGAAACTGAAAACACTAATTTTATAAAAAAATAATGCTATATGATAAAAGGGTAATACTGCAAATCGACCGACCGGCAGAACAACCAGTTGCTATGATGCACACTGACCACCAGGGGGCAGACACTCAATGCAGGAGCTGCCCCCTGGTGGTCAGTGCACTCCCACAGGGGGAGCGCCATTCAGCCAGAAGCCCTGAGCTGGCAGGAGCGGGCCTAAGCCATCAGTTGGACATCCTTCGAGGGCTCCTGGACTTTGAGAGGGTGTAGGTTGGGCTGAGGGCCGCCCCCCCCCCCCCGCCCCAAGTGCACAAATGTCATACACTGGGCCTCTAGTATCCTATATAATAAAGAGCTAATATGCTAATTAGACTGAACAGTAGAATGATCGTCCTGATGACCTTCCAGACGAAGCTGGGGCTGCGAGGGCCAGCTGGGGCTGCGAGGGCTCCTGTGGGATTGGGCCTAAACTGACAGTTGGACATCACACTCACAATCCAGGACTGCTGGCTCCCAACCGCTCGCCTGCCTGCCTACCTGATTGCCCCTAACTGCTTCTGCCTGCCAGCCTGATCACTCCCTAACCACTCCCCTGCCAGCCTGATCGACGTCTAACTGCATCCCTGCCTGCCCAATCGCCCCCAACTACCCTCCCCTGCTGGCCCAGTCACCCCCAACTGCCCTCTCCTGCCAGTCCGGTAATCCCCTGAGAGGTCCCAGATTGGAGAGGGTGCAGGCTGGGCTAAGGGACACCGCTCCCCCCCCCGCCCCCCGCCTGTCTCTCAGTGCACAAATTTCATGCACCGGGCCTCTAGTATTTATACAATTTAGTCCTTATAGGTTCTGTATTTCCACAGTATTTTTTATGTTAAATATGTGTTTTGAGTTAAGTAGTCCTTTTTAACTAATCTGGGAACTTAACTGGGTTTTTTTTTATACCACTTTTCCAAACTGAAATGTAACTGGGTTAAAAGTTGGGGGTTTACATAAGAAACATGATTTTGCAAACTTAGAAATAGAAATACTAATATATGAAACAGCTAAAAATCCATGAAAAGCACAGTCTAAAAACTAGAGTACAAATAAGCAAAGTACAGCATGTGAATAATACAGCTGATTTTTTTTTTGGCCCTATTTTAATGTCAAATAATCTGGATGGTGAAATTATGAGCCATTTGAATTTTCGTCTTTATGCTATTTTGTATGATGAAAAGAATATCTATATAGGTGTATGTGTGTGCATGTGTATATGTATATGTATCACTTGTGGTAGAAGAAAAGGTAATTATAAGTGATATTAATTAGGTAAGGATTAATCTCTTTTTTTTAAATCCTCTCTCAAGGAGTGATGGTATTTTTTCTATTGATTCTAGAGATAGAAGGAGGGGGTGGAGGAGAGACTGAGAACATCTACAAGTATGTGACAGAGACATATGAATTGGTTACCTTCTACATGTGCCCCCAGCAGGGGCAGGGATTGGACCTTTAACCCAGCTACATGCCCTTGACTGGGAATCCAATCTGCCACCCTCTGGTATGCAGGCCGATGCTCTAACCACTGAGTCACGAGGGCCAGATCTAGTTAATCTCTTCACATTCACAGTGTTCTAAATTAGTTTTTAATTTCGAGTTGTTAATGTCCCTGTGTTTCCATACATTCAGGATCAGGATAATTGATGATTGCAACATTTCTTTTTTTTTTTTTTTAATAATTTTTATTTCTTGAAGCATTACAAAGAGTATTACATATGTCCCCCCCCCCCACACACACACAGACACTTCCCCGACCCCTACCCCCCAGCGTCTCACGTCCATTGGTTACTCCCATATGCATGCATATAAGTCCCTCGGTTGATCTCCCAACCCTCCCCCCCCCCCCAAGTCCTCCCCAGGCCTCCCACCACAGCCCGACAGTCTGTTCAATGCTGCTCTGCCTCGATTGCAACATTTCTTAAGAATGCCACATCATTGTCTTCAGAGTTTTTTTCTCCAAGCTGCTGACACCAATTCTTCATGTTTTGATGCATAGGTAATGACAATTATGTCACAACTGCTACCTTACTGACAAGGATTATGTGAGACATCCCAATTTTAGTGATGTTAAAATATGAAAAGCCCTGGCCTGGTGATTCAGTTGGTTGGAGCATTGTCCCCTACACCAAAAATGTTTCGGCTTCAATTTCCAGTTAAGGCACATAACTAGGTTGCGGGTTTGATCCCAGGTGGGCGCGCATACTTGAGGCAACCAATTCATGTTCTCTCTCTCTCTCTCTCTCTCTCTCTCTCTCTCTCTCTCTCTCTCTCTCTCTCTCTCTCTTTCTCTTTCTCTTAAATCAATGAAAACATATCCGTAGGTGAGGATTTTTTTAAAAGTAAAAAATGTGTGCCTCTGAAGCAATGAAATATGGTTCTTGCTTTTCCTTTTTAACTGTTTCCTCATTTTTTCCCCTGAGAGCACTATTTATGATTTTCAAAATATACACATGTATGTGGAGAGAGAGAGAGAGAGAGAGAGAGAGAGTGTGTCTATCTATACTATTGTACAAATTCCATTTTAAATTAAACAGGTAAGAGGGAACTGTGCAATTTTCTCTCTCCTCATTTCTCCCCTTTCCCTACATTACTATTGTTTATATGTGTTGTGTATTACTATTGTCTGTTACTGTTTTCCCTCTTCCTCTATTCCTCCTCTACCATAGCAATTGTTGGCGGCAATGATGGGAATAGTTGAGGAGGGAGCAGGTGAGAAGTAGAAGCTGGGAGAATAATAAGCTATAATGGAACTTTTGTAACATGCCTTACATCCTGTTTTACTTGGCTCACAGGGATAGAGAAGAGAAGCTTATGTTATGCCTATTAATAATTGTGACTTCAATCCTGTTTCCCACCCCAGCATTCCAAGCACCTCCAATCTTCTCACCATTTTTTCAGGCCCTGTGATTTGTATTTATCTCCTGGCCTCGAACCCAGACTTGATTTCTTACATCTCAGCCTCATATTTTTATTATCCTCCAAGGGGTATTATTATGATTCTAAATGGTTAGCAGCATTAAGTTAGGTTATCCATTTTATGGAGATGGATATTTAAGTAGGCATGGCCATATTCCTTGCTTGCTTCTTCTTTGTTCTGTTCCTAATCACCAACCCTCCATTTGGAGTGAGAGACTCTTTAATTACTTCAATTATTATTGTACTAGAGGCCGGGCGTACGAAATCGTGCGCAATTGTGGTCCCTAGGCCTAGCCTGTGATCAGGGCCATCTCACCACCACTCATCCCGGTTCCCTGTTCGCCATCAGCTATTGGAGCCTCCGGGCCAGGAGGAGGGACCAAGAGGTTGGCCGTTCGGCCCGCTCGCCAGTCCCCGCCCCCCCCCCCCCCCCCCCGCCATCCACCCCTATTCCACAGTCGCCATTGGCGATTGGAGCCTGCCGGCCGGGGAAAGAAACTGAGAGGTGGTCAGTGCACCTCATAGTGACTGGCTGAGCGGTCATTCTGGTCATTCTGCCATTATGGTTGCTGGGCTTTTATTATATAGGATTATGCTCCTACTTCGGAGCATAACTATGTTACTTGATCCATAAGATAACTCTGCATATCTTATATATCTTAGACTCCCTTGTGTGTTGATTTTTACCTTTTAACGCTCCAAGGACAGATGATATCATAATGCCCTGCATATAGTTACTTAAA